TCTCTTTTGACTTTGATACCCAAAGCTTTTTCTCAACACTTTGATTCCCCAAAGTTTGACACCTTTAAACTTTGGCATATCAAACTGTTAGTAACGAAACTAAACCGTTAGTAACGAAACTTTGGGGTACAAAATCAAAAGAAGTGTGAACTTTAGGGTATCGATGTGTCAGGAAACTTTGGGGTACAAAATCAAAAGAAGTGTGAACTTTAGGGTATCGATGTGTCAGGAAAAGACTTTGAAGGTATCAAAGTTGAAAAATCAAAAGAAGTGTGAACTTTAGGGTATCGATGTGTCAGGAAAAGACTTTGAAGGTATCAAAGTTGAAAAATGTAAATTTTTAGATACCAAAATGTCGAAGAATATTTTTGGAGTGTCAAAGCTAAAAAGCTGTGTAAACTTTGTGTTGACGCATGCCACCTGCAACCCAACGTTGATCATTGCGCAATAATTGAAAATCTATGCGGAAGCGTCACTGAACACCTTCGCCGAACAATGTGGAAATACTAGCAAAATACTAGTTCAAATAAAAGAGTAAAGCAATTACTATAAAACAATGGATTAAGAGACAAATAGACGAAATTTACGTGGTTTGGCAATCGCCTATGTCTATGGGAAGAGAGTCTTCTTTTATTCTAAAGATTATAAGATAATCTATTCTTGTGATCTAAGATAGATCCCACAAATACCCTCTTTTATTTTACCAAAACATCTCTCACAAACCTTAGATTTCTCCTCATAGTTCTATTTAATTCTGTCTTATAATATGCAGCTCTCCTTCAATTTTCTATGGCTTAATTTACGGTAAACCTCTTGAGGGGTATTTCAAGAGCTTTCCTCTCTCTTGAATTCAAGTATGACTTTTTTTTAACTTGGATTATCAATTCTAATTATCTTATAATTAAATTAAATTTCAATTGTAATTGATTCTTTTCGATTAAATTCAATTCTCAATTGAAGTCCAACAATGCTTTCTTAAAATATGAAGCTATTTCTCAATAATCTCCACCTTATGTTTTTATGAAGCTACCTTTTGAAACATCGATCCTTCTTCTAACATCTTGCTGCAAACTTGAAAACTCTAGAGAACGAACATTTTTGAGAAATCACCTTAAGAGCCTCTCCAATAGGCAGTGGAGAGGTTGTTGCTTATGCATTGATGTCAAGCCTTCTGATAGCGTGACATCAACCTTCATTTTGCACGCTCTAAGCCTCGCTATCGACTTGTTGCGGACTTTTTCTTGACTCCTCCACCTAGAGTCAAGCTCCCGTCCTTGGAACCCAACTTTGTTGCCAACTCCTCTTCCTCATGGTAGTATACATTCTTGAAGATGAATCTTCACCTTGAATATCAATTCCTTAAGACAGAACAAGCTACCTACACAATTCTTTCCAACTAGGAGGGCCTATCACGGTATGTTGTGATGACTCTTTTGCGCACTTACGTTTAGTAGCTTATAGAGTCAAGCACCCAGTGGACATCAGATTCTTCCTCACCTTCTAGATTAATTGAACATTCTCTAAGGTAACCATGCTCCCCCTTCTTCCCACCATTGTGATGACATCACATCTTGTACCATCCATGTGTAGATAGTCTCCTTAACTCCTTATACTAGGGAGTCAAATATGCTTGTCTGGGAACATATATGAGTCGATGTTCTAGAATCTAATATCCAATAGTCACAAGAAGTATTATTTTTGGAAATTATAAACACTTCGACTTGTTGACTTTCCTCCTCTAAAACTGTTAACATGTTCACTCATTGATTTTCTGTAATATTCATTGTATACGAAGTTTGGGCCACCCAATCCCTCATCTTTTGCCCCCTTCAATCACTCTTACCATTTGAAGCAATCTTTTGTCATATGACCCTTCCCTTGCTAAAAAAGCACCGCTTAATCCATTAACTTGTCTCGTTTAAAGATATCCCTTGTACGTACTAACCCAGCACCAGAAATCGACTCATCACCAACACTATGTCATCGCTAAAAGTCTTCCATGGGAAGTGCTGCTTTGACCTTGTCCATGATATTTATCGCCTTGCCTATAGTTTATGATATCTTTAGATATTGGTAACTTGCTGGTAGAGAACCCAATAAAATTACTGTTTTGTCATCATCTCCAATCTTTGACCCTGTCGCCGCTAATTCGGTCATTATCTTGTTATAGTTGCTCAGATACTCCAACATTCACATATCTTCCTTCATCCACAGTCCATTCAATTGTTCCAATACAAGTCGGCGGGTGCATTCTTGATCATGTACAGCTCCTCGAGTTTCTTTCACATACAGAGTGCAGTCGTCTCCTCGATTACATGGTACCTTACTTCATAAGAGAGAGCAAGTAAAACTGTACTCCATGCCTTCCGATCCATCATATTCCACTCGTCACTTCTCAAGCTCTCAGACTGCTTGTCCACTCCTAGCAAAGCTTGATCTAGGTCATGTTGGATCAAGACTGTCTTCATCCTTTTCTGTCAAAGTCTAAAATCCTTCTCGCCATTGAACTTTTCAATCTCGATCTTCATCACTAAATGACTTTTTAATTTCATGACACAAAGATTAAACATTTCCTCAAAGACAAGTATGATCTAGTCAAAATTCATCTCTGATACTAATTATTTTTTCTGATACTAATTATTGGCATCACCTGACACTCTGATACAAATGTTGGCACACACAACCCGCAACTTGACGCTGATCTTTGCACACCGATAGGATATCTGTGTGAAGCGTAGCATGTGAAAGAGTCACCGAACACCTTGATTAGGTCTCATCCCTTCTTTGTAAACCAAACAAATCACAAGGTGATGTGGAAATATTGAGAAAATACTAGTTTGAAAAAAAGAGTAAAGCAATTACCGCATAATAAATAGATCAAGAGATATAGACACAGAATTTATGTATCTCGCAATCGCCTACATCCACAGGAAGAGGATTGAGTCTTCTTTTATGCTACAGAGTACAAGATAATCTATTTTTGTGATTTAAGATAAATCCCACAAGAAACTCTCTCTCAATCTTACAAAAAGATCTCTCACAAACCCTAATTTTCTCCCCTTAGTTCTCTCAAATTCTCTCTTACAATATGCAACTCTCATTGGCTTTTCTATGACTTAATTTACAATAAACTTCTCAAGGAAATTTTAAAGAGCTTTCTCCTCTCTTGAATTCAAGCAGGACTAGTTCTTGGACTTAGATTATTAATTCTAATTCTTTTATAATTAAAATTTAATTCCAATTGTAATTGATTCTTTCCAAGCAAATTCAATTCCTAATCTAAGTCCAACTAGAATTTTCTAAAATACAAGGCTATTTAATAACATTTTGCGGGTACCAAAGTGCAAATAACCATGATTAAAATTTGACAGCTGTCGAAATATTTGGTAACACCAATGAAAACCCAAAAGGAAGAACACTACAAGAATATAACTCCCAAAAATAAAAGTAGAAGAATATAACTATCAAAAAGAAAAACTTGTGAAGAATAAAAAGTTAAGAACAATCCACACTTTGCGGAATGGAATAAAAATGCAATCTCCAAAGCTCTGCAGTTTTTACAAGAAGAGAACCTTCTTTTGCTCCTTTGACAAGAATAGTACTTCCAAGAAGAGGACCTTCTTTTGCTCATTTGACAAGAATAGCACCTACTTCCTCTTTCTCCCTAGTCCCATTAGAAATTAGCCTTTGTTAGTTATGATTGTCCTTTATTTTAAGGCAACACATAAACAAATAACTGGAATAAGGACAAAAGCATACCATTTTTTGATGATTTAAATGGTTTGGGAAAAACTTATTCAAGCACCTATTTTGTAAATCTATTTGGATTCAATCCATTTGAGGAATACGTAGCATAGTTTGGATGCTAAAAGAATTGGGAAAAAATAAATTTTTTTTAGACAAACCGCTTTTAAAATACGTTAAGAAAAACCACCCTCAAAGTTCAATTAATATAGAAAACCACCTTTTAAGCGGGTCTCAATTGCAATCTTCACTTTGACCTATGTTTTAATGAAATTTCGACTAAAATTCCCAAAATACCCTTCAAAGATGCGTCGTACTCTAGGTTTGGTTAAGACATGTCACGGGGCATTTTGGAAATTGCAATTGAAATTATATTAAATAATAGATCAACGTGGTCCATTGCAATTGGAAACTCTTTAAAGGTTATTTCTATATTAATTGAACTTTGAAAGTGCTATTTGTATAATTACCCTGTTTTAGAGGAGGTTTATGTGAAAATTTCCAAAAAATAATATGCAGTGTACACCATTTCTTCAAATTCAAGGGAGTGCTTGGTTAAAAGTCTAAGGCTTTCATCCCCTACTTGTTCCTTGAACTCTTCAATTTGTTCCTTCATATTTTCTGAACGATTTTTAGGTTTATCTTATCCCTGAACTATTGAATTCATTTTATCTCATGACCTATTTTCAACATGTCAATATGGATTTTTTTTTTCAAATTCACTTTTATACGAAAGTGAAGAAAATAGATGAAGAAAAAAGGAAAAAACAATTGACTGAAGAAACATTGTAGTTGTAACTACATTTAATGGGGGAGAAAAAACAATGAGCAACCTTTTTGTGTATATCTAGGTGTCATTTATAATAACTTTTCAAACTTAACACTAAATCTTTGGCGCACATTGTAGTCTTATGAAGAAGTTTGGGGAAAGAGAGCATATAGGGTTTTCTCGTCCAATCCAAAGTGCAAGGGTTGCTTATATGCTCAAATATTTCTTATTTTGGCATTAAAATAATAATAAAGGGTTTTTGTTGCCAAGTCCTCCTAGGCACTCACTAGACACTAGTAAAGGGTTTTGGCTAACAGAAATATTCTTTGGACAAGGGCCTTATTTCAGACAAACGTATAAATAAGGAGCTTATGCAATTTTCCCATGGACAAGTACAGTTACCCAAAGGGTATACAAAGAGGTCAAATCTCACCTCCTCCTTTTATCTCCTCTTCTTTATTAATTAATTAATTAACCCGAAGCTCATAGAAAACTCAGCCCCTCTTGTCTGGCCACCTTCTTTCTCTGGATCAGATCAACTTTGATCCCGAACCCACGGAGCTCTGATATATCTTTCCTCTGCCTCTATTATTATGATCAAACACTGCCCACTACATAATCCCATACACGGTATATGCAAAGATTTTTTGTGGTGGTAATTAAATCGTGAGCAGGATATTAGCTGTCCTGACTCTCAACTCTCTCTTCGCTTCTCTCCCTCGGTTCTTTCCTTTTCAAATCCCCCCCGTCGAATAGAGTTGAAGCACCCCACATCACATGTGAGAGCAACCGACAACCCCATTTCCCCATTTACCCATCTCAGTAATTATGTTGGGTTTTCTCCATAATAGTTTATTAACTTTTGGGGAGCAACTAGTGCTTTGCGTAGAAGGAAGATGAAGGCTTTTGTATTCGTTTGTTTATTCTGAGTATTTCCTCTAAATTTATTTCTTGGAAAGGGAAAGGTGATCTTGGGGGGATTTGGAAGGCAGGGGAGAGATGGGGGTGCTGAGTACTTTGCTGGGTTTCTGTGGGTTTGGGGTTGGAGTTTGGGGTGGAGTTGTTGTCGGCTACTATCTCTTCATCTATTTTCAGCCCACCGATGTTAAGGTAAGATTTTGGTTACTCTTTGCTCAGTAATTTTTGTTTGATTTTAGTGTCGCAGATTTTTTTTTTCTATTGTGGAAGCACCTTGACCTGCTTTTCTTGAAGGAAAAAAAATATGGTGTTGGGTGTTTGTTTTGCGGGATCTGTGCTTGCTAAAGGAAATGGGTATACGTTGGTTTTCAGTTTCTGGGGGAAGGATGGGGGGATTTGCGTTTTAATAGGAGAGGAAGAAAGCGGGTCTTGTTTTTGTTTCTCAATTGCGAAGGAATTGATAGAAAAGAGAGAAACATGTGGAGCTCCTGGATATGCAACTAATGCAATTCTTTTTCTTCATTACAATTAGATTGGGGAATTGTCATGATATGGAAACAAAATATGTTGATATTGGTGCCTTGGGTACCACTTGCGGAGAAACTAGGTTGATGTAGGCCGACTAGTGATTCATGACATTTCTGGCTTCTGACTAGTCTCAGGGTTAGCAGACAGGATTAGGCAATATACAAACTGTGGAAATTCACGGCATGGATAGTTTTAACCTATGGCATAATCTATGGCAAGGATAAGTTGTTGAATACCCATCTGTAAGGACTGAATACTGGGTAACTACAATTTTGCTATCCAACAAACCTAGTTAACATAGCTGGAACAACGCGTGCGATTTGACTAAGACGCAAATCGAGAAATGCAGATGGACTGGTTACGTTGTATCTAATGGACGATGAAAATCCAAGTTAATAAAAAACCAAGTTAATAATGGCTAATAGAAAAGTGAAACCCGTTCATATCTCTGGGGTCTTTTCTATGCTCCTTCTATGAGTCGTTTCCAACACCTTCTTATTGGACGGTTTAGGCGTTCATAATGAACTTGTATCAGGATTGCTACTTTCAAGTGGTCATGTAGAGTTATTACAATAATGAAAGAAAGGACTGTTAGGCGTTGTTGGCTACTTTACTATCACAAATTCAATGAGTTACAAAATTGGATTAATGTAATCTTTTCGAAATAGCTTGTGATATGCTTTTCAGTTAGGATCATGATATCATTCCTGTGCTAAGCAATGAGTACAATTTGCTACTTGGCAAATCAAGCACTAGCTACTGACATATTGATTAGGACAGGGGCAGATCCTGAAAAAGTGACGACTAGGGGGAAACCGCAAGCATAAATAAAGGTAGTTAAATACCCTATACTCTGTACCTACATTGCCCATGTATACTCCAGTTGTATTTGGTTGCACTGAAATACCTTAAAGTTTCTAAAAGTTGGCAGTTAAGTACCTTCGGTTATGCAACCTGAGAATCCCCCTCCCATCGAAATTCTCATGCAACACTCATATGCTAATTTTAGAACATTTTAACCCTTAATTTTTTGTTAAACTTATAAAAATCTCATTTTAAATTAGAATTAGGGTAGGTTTAAAACAGGATTTTGATAACATAAGATTTATAAAAAAAAGCTTTAATATGTTCGAAGATTAGCATGTGAGTGTCGCATGAGAATTTTCGGGGGAAATTCTCATGTTTGCATAGCTGAGGATACTAAAGTGCAAATTTTAAAAATTTTAGGGTATTTAAGTGCAACCAAATACAACTGGGGATATATGTGTGTGTATAAAGTAGGTGAGACTATAGGTTATTTTAGTGCAATTAAGCCATAAATAAATGATGACCTAAATATTAAAGGGATTTTGTTTTGGAGTTGTGAACTTGTGATCTAAGGTTGGATATGGGAATGACATGGCAAATTGAAAGGCTAAGATTGATAGTGGGGGATATATATTGTCTAACTCCTATTAAGTCACTTTGTTTGGGAGATTTGTAACTGATATTTTGTAAAAAATTTCTGGGGTCAGTGGTGTCAACTGCCTCCACTGCCCCCATGGTGGATCAGCCATTGGACTAGGAGCAAGGGCGGAGCCAGGGTACTTTGAGGTTGGGCAAGTTCCCTACCTTAAATTTGATTGTAAGTGCCTATTTTTGGTACATTTGCATTAATTTCCTAACTAGTATTCATACATTTGAATCAATCAATCTACCTAATTATAATATCCATTTAATTGTGACTTTTAACACCTAGGATTTGTACATTTTGCATACAAACTTGGAATATGATCCATTTAATTATTTCTTCACATATTAATGAATTTCAATCTAATTGTGAACACTTTCCTCTTTCAGTGGAAAAGTACAATCATGCTTTTTAATAATATTTTTTGTATAATTTTCATTGCCACTCTATTTGTGCCTTGCCTGGTTGAAATCTCGCTCAGATGCTGAGTAGGAGACAGTGATCACACAATTCTGGATAAAGTCCTTGTTACTCGTCTTATTTTCAAGTCCTCTTGAGTGATATAATTATGTAAAAAGTAAATACAGCAATCTATGCATGTGATGTGGGGGAGTACATAGACTTTTTGTAGCTCTTTTCATTTAGTGAAGCTCTCTACACTACATTCACCATATCTTTAGGTTTTTCTCTCCATTTTGACTGGTTGAAGAATCCGGTGAGGGAAATATGTTGCTGTGTTGTAGGCTCCTAGCTTTATTATAAATCCATTACATGGTCATGTACTGAAATGAATATTGCATGCCTATTAGTATTTGCATGTTAGATAGTTAGTGACTTCTATAAGAGAACAATGGCACTAAACTGTGCTGCAAGGATTACAGTCCTTAGGGTGTACTGGTGTAGAAGTAATACTGGTTATACACTACTGTAATAGAAGAAGCATTCGAGCACACGTTCTATGTGAAGTTTGAATTTACAATGAGATGACAAATTATCCTCAACTACTCTATGTAATTCCAGACCTTTAACAAGAATCAGCAGAAAGGGCTTACATTGTTGATTCTTGCAGTTGGAAGATAGCTTAACGTTTGTGGTTGACAGATATTAGTTTGATTGGCTAACACTGATGGCACTTTTTTGTTTGTTCTCCTTGAAGGTTGATTGGCTGGACGAGTTTATTCCATTGTAATTAAATGTGAAAACATCAATGTTCTTCATAGATATATTAGCTTATATTAAAAAAACCATAAATGTTGGTGTTTCTTTTGTTTTCTTGTTGATTATAATGATTTGTTATTGTTATTCCTTTGTTTTCTTACCAGCATCCTACAGTTCGACCACTTGTTGAACTTGATTCAAAAACTCTGGAGCAGATGCTTCCTGAGATTCCCTTATGGGTGAAAAATCCAGACTTTGATCGGGTAAAAAAAAATTCTGCCAGAATAGTTTAAATGTCTATGGTTTATCGTTACTGATTATTTATTATTACCTGTAAAACTGATGACACTTTTTTGTTTGTTTCTCCTTGAAGATTGATTGGCTAAACAAGTTTATTGAATATATGTGGCCTTATTTGGACAAGGTATGTAGGTTATTGAAAGGTTTTGCACTATTTTAACAGGTGGTTCCTTCTATTCCTTTATTTTATATCTTCCTCCTTTTCCAGGCAATCTGCAAGACAGCTAGGGAAGTAACAAAGCCAATTATCGCTGAGAATTGTGCCAAGTATAAAATTGAATCCATTGAATTTCACACTTTAACCCTCGGTTCACTTCCACCGACTTTCCAAGGTCTTCTCTCTCCCCTCGCCCCTCCCCTCTCTCTCTCTCCCTCCCTCCCTCCCTCCCTCACGCACGCACGCGAAGCACATAAATTCACACACACTTGCATAATCAGTGAAATGCTTCACATTTAAAAAAACACAACCACTGTTGTTCAAAATCAACTTTTAAATAAACATTATTTTTAATCAATTGAATGCCTAGGCCTAGATGCAGTACTTGGAAACAGAAAGGATATCTTACTGAATTTATGAGATAACATATCACGGAGCGAGAAAATTTTATCTCTAACCTCCAGTAAGTTTACAGACGCTGACTATTGTTTTTGTTCCACATGACTCGTTCCCATGAATACTGCTTGCATCCTACTGGGATGTAATGATACTCCCCAAATTCATCATCTTCCTATGCTGTGATCTGACACCCTACTAAAACAAACAAATGAGAAGAATCAATACATGCTTATGGAAACACCTAGTTAAATTAAATGACTGCATTTTCGTTCTTCTGCATATATGGGTTTTGGTGCACTCTCGACTCAGAGTGCTACAATGTCTCCTCAGCAGCAAACATTCCTTCTCGAGTTTTAAATGCTTCTTAGAATCAGTTATCATTGTGTGCGATTTAATGCTTAATTTGCTTCCATTAGGATGCTCAGAAAGGAAATAAAGAGCAATAGGAACATGTAGTTTTTCTACCTTTGACTGAGGAGACACCTTTAAGTCCCTGTTTATAATTTAGTGGCATATGTTTCTTTATACCATGTTGTGTATAGTTGTAACCATCGAACTTTAGGTTCAAAGAGCATAAACAATCAATTAGAGCCACTCTGTAACTTGTCTGTTGTATGTCCGATGTCTCTTTACTTGTCTTATTATGTTTGAACTTCCTGATGAGAATGTTCTGCATGCCACTCAACGAGCTATACCGAGTACTTAGTTTATAAATAAATCAACGTATATAAATCACCAATTGTAGGATCAGAATTTTCTTTTCTTTGAATTTTGTCATAACGTAGACTTATACAATTCATTTAGGAGTCTGCTTGAGTCACTTTTCATACATCCCATATAACTCATGTTCAAAGAATTTTACTCATGTCATCCCATGTATGATTGTTTTTACTTAAAATTTTACTTATACCTAGACACTAGGGGTGGCAATTGGATCGGTCAAGTCAGGTGGGATCGATATGTAAGCTTAACCTGAACCCGATCTGTTTAATAAACGGGTCACACTACCCAACCCATTTATTAAAGGGGTTACCCACCTGACCCGAGTAACCCAATTATGACCCGTATATGATTATACTACCGGTGTTCTAGAAGAGAAATCACGATAGATTGCAACAATAATTTTTTAAACATTAGATATCATCTAAGCATATATTCATATAGTCAAGTTATAGACTATAGTTTAAGGGATTATGTGTAATTTAACAAGAAAAATAAAGTAAAAAAGGACACGTATAAAACTAGAGCTCATCACCCCTAAGTTTTTCATCAAAAAACCTTACCAAAAAAATTTTCATGCCCTTTTTTTCTCAGATCCCCAACCTCATCCAGAAATTCACAATTATCATCAATGTTATCGATCGTGAATAGCGTCGCGTAGCGGTGAGGCACCGCTAAGGTTATTTTCGCCTGTATCAATAAAATAGCGATAAATAGCACATAATCAAATAGCGATCCAATTTAAATATATTTAAATATTCAAAAAAATAAGAATCGATGCAAGGACGGGGCTTTGTCGAGAGCAGGGCTTTATCGAGGAGATGGAGCAGAGGTAGTTGGAGGATCTAGAGAGGAGAAGAGATGGAGATGAAGCTTGTCGAAGTAACTGCTGTTTGCTGTAGCGTCGAGGAGAGGAGATGGAGCTTGTTGAGGAGTTGGAGGATTTGGATAGGAGGTGGAGGAATGGTGGAGAAGAGATGGAGATGGAGCTTGCTTGTTGAGGAGTTGGAGGATTTGGATAGGAGGTGGAGGAATGGTGGAGAAGAGATGGAGATGGAGCTTGTCGAAGTAATTGTTGTTTGTTGTAGCTAGGAGGTGGAGGAATGGTGGAGAAGAGATGGAGATGGAGCTTGTCGAAGTAATTGTTGTTTGTTGTAGCGTCGAGGAGAGGAGATGGAGCTCATTGAGGAGTTGGAGGATTTAGATAGGAGGTGGAGGAATGGTGGAGGAAGGCAGCGGAATTGGAGCTCATCCAACAAGAAAGAAAAAGAGAGGCGGAGGTCCGATTAGGGTTTTTTGAGAAAGAGGTGGAAGCAGTTGAATACAGAAGAGAAAGAGAGTGGGTTTTATAAGTTGGATTAGGTTCGGGCGTGATTCGGGTTGGGTTTTTGATAAAAATCAACCATAAAAGAAGACGCTAATAGTGCTCAAAAGCGTTATTAACAACTTTTGAGTTTTGAGTGCTATTTCACACTTTTCTCTGCTATTTCGAACAAATAACAGTCTTTGGCGCTTTTTCTCATCGCTATGGTCAAAATTATTGCGGGCAAGGTCCGCTAACGTAATTGTACCGCAATTGCCCGTTATTTACAACACTGGTTATCATCTTCATTAATCAACTCTTTTTATCTATTCAATCAATCCAACATGAAGCATCTCTACAAACAATCCCCCTCCTCTCAATCTAAAACACCAGCATCCCCAAACCCTCAAAACCCCATCTCAATCCTTTGCCCGCCGTCGTCGCCGGTCACTCGCTACTCTCTTGGCACTCGCTACGACCGCTCTTTGCTGCCATTTGTTGTAGTTGTTCTACGCCTCGAGCTCCCGTAGCGGTGGATAAAGAACCCTCAAAGATTAGGGCTGAAAAGAGAATTGACACTTACCCAGTTAGATCATATATGGATTAGATGAGTCATAAATGGGTTGACCACTAGCTACCCATTTTAATAAATGGGTAGCTAGGGTTGACCTGTTTATGACCCAAGCCCATTTAACTCGACCCGTCCCCCTTAATAACGGATGGGTAGCTAGGGTTGACCTGTTTATGACCCAAGCCCATTTAACTCGACCCGTCCCCCTTAATAACGGGTCAGGTTGGGTCGATTTGATGGGTCGGACTATTTTTTGCCACCCCTATTAGAAACCACTTAATATGGAAGACCAAATAAAAATAACCTTGAGTAGGGTATTCATCTGGATGTGGTATGTATGCCTCATTGTTTTCTGGTGGCATTACGTTTTTGCATGATAGAGCTACCTGAGACTGCTATCATCATGTTTCCACTACTGAGTAAGTAGGTACCATCACCACAGTCTGACAGTCATCATTGTGGAGCAGAGCGCTTCGAGACTGTAATTGTGTGTCCTCAAGTCCGATTGTTGATCCCAATGACAACATAGATGTTCCTGCCGCATTCAATGGAGCTCAATGATAATGGAGCGAAAAACTTATCTTTGTAGGTCACACTAAGCATAAAGCATATTAGATTAAGTAAAATAGAAAAAAAATCTGTTTGTTTAAGAACATAGAAAGTGATCAATCTAGTATTTAAATTTGAGACCGGCACAGAAAGCTATAAAGGTAACACCATAAGTAAAGAAAAAATCTACAGCTAATCTAATTTTATATTATAATTATTAATTTAACTGGTAAAATTACATCTCAGAAAAAAATCTGTTTATTTAAGAACATAGAGAGCGATCAATCTAGTTATTTAAATTGCGATCGCTTTTTGGGGTTGAGAGAATTACTCCTTGGAGTTGATGATAGAAGAAGTCATGCAAGTCTTTACCTTGCTAATTGCTACATTATCAATTGCTTTTGGGGCATCGAGTAAGAGCAACTAAATATGTGAGACCTTTGAACTACCTCTTCTCCCTGACATGTTAGGAGTGATAAGATGAGTAGCTCAAGAATGGCCTCCTTACTAAAATCCTAGCCTAGTGTTACTGAACTAGAGCTGGTTTGATTCTCTTGATGGAACCAGATTCAGTTCAGGCTATGCCCTAGTCCAAATCAGGTTTGGACCCAGTCTGAAGTGGTCCTTCAGTGAGATTCGATCCAGCTGGATCAGCAACCAGCATGGTTTCTAGACCTAGTCCAACACTATTATAGAAGCACAGGTACTTGTTAGCAATTGACATATGTTTGTATTTCAAAAATATTGTAACTTGTATGCTCATAAAAAAAAATTGAGCAAAGAATGCACCTGCCCAAGAAAGCTGCACAAGTGAACTTTCTGTAATATTTACATAAGATACTCTTCCTCCTGCAACGTGTCGTCAACTCTATATATATCTGGTTCGCTAATTCTGTCAGATTTTTGAGCCAACTTTGTGCTTCCTTGTATTGGAATTGCATTTGCACGAATACACTATTTATTTTTAAAAAGTCTGCCTTGTATTGTGTGCATCTTGTGTGTATTCTTGCTAGCCTAGTGTACTCAATTGATTGATGTTTTTATTAGAAACTTCTGCATCAGTATTAAAATTTAGATGTTATGCTAGGAATGAAAGCTTATGAAACAGATGAGAAAGAGTTGATTATGGAACCATCACTGAAATGGGCTGGAAATCCGAATATTATTGTGGTGGTTAAAGCATTTGGATTGAAGGCAACCTTACAGGTTACTAGCTTGTACTATTTTGGTTTAAGAATAACATAGCTTGGATATTTGAGACTAATGCTGCTTCTGAAAAGTTGTTTAAGAAGTTATATTAGTGAACTAATTCGATTCCTTTTGAGATTCAGGTAGTAGATTTGCAAGTCTTTGCTATACCGCGAATTACATTGAAGCCTTTGGTTCCTAGTTTTCCTTGTTTTGCAAAAATCCTCGTCTCGTTAATGGAAAAGGTACATAAGCAAGTTTGATTTGTTTGGTAGCTTTTTATTGTGATTATATTCTTTATATATCATGAACAGTAATTTCAGCAAGTTTGATTTGTTTGGTAGCTTTTTATTGTGATTATATTCTTTATATATCATGAACAGTAATTTCCAACTTCTTCCATTGTATTTTCTTTTCTTTTCTTTTCTTTGTTGCAGCCACATGTTGACTTTGGACTAAAACTTCTGGGAGCTGATGTTATGGCAGTTCCTGGTCTTTATAGATTCGTGCAGGTATTCTGCTGCCATTGTTTATTAAATCAGACGATTGTGACTAACAACTGGTTGATGCATCCATACGCAAGTGTAAATGGAAAGAGGAAAAATGCCTTAGTTTGAGATCTTGAAACTATTCATTAAAGAAACAGAAAATCTATAGTTTTTTAACTCAAGACTGAATTATCTTCTCATGGAAGGAAATTGATTCCTCGACCAGTTCTTTTAAAATGTTCACGAGGAGTAGCACTTGAGCTTTAGCTTGCAAATGGCATGACAACGAGATGGAGACACTACAAGTGTCATTGTGTCCTACAATTCATATATTGTTTATTCTTTCTCCTTTTTGCCTGTGCATTCTCTTACACATATAGTTACTTGCAGGAGACTATCAAGAACCAAGTAGCAAGCATGTATCTATGGCCCAAAGCACTAGAAGTGCCAATTATGGATCTTTCAAAGTAATACTGACTACATAATATTAGCAATTTTTAAAGCATCCGTACCCTAATTTGGTTACTGATTAGTTAGCACCTGTGCAGTGCTATGAAGAAACCTGTTGGACTTTTGCACGTTAAAGTCATCAGGGCAAATAAACTTAAGAAGAAAGACCTTATGGGTAAATCTGATCCTTATGTGAAGCTAAAGCTTACAGAAGACAAGCTCCCATCGAAGAAAACGAAAGTGAAGCACAGTAATCTCAATCCTGAATGGAATGAGGAATTCAAGTTTATCATCAAAGATCCAGATTCTCAAGCCCTTCAGATAAGCATTTATGACTGGGAAAAGGCATGCCTCTAGTCCATAATTTCATTTTATTTAAATTTGTATATATATACCTCTTAAAGCACGCATATTTGCAAAACAATCCCTCAAATCTGAATATTTGCAAAACTATTCCCCAAATACTTTGGAGGAAAAAAAAACACTCAAACAACTTTTTCTTGTGACAAGGGAACCTTGGTATTTTTGTTTTGTTTTGTTTGGGGGGGGGTGGGGGTGGGGGTGGACAACCTCCGCCTAAGTAAGTAAACCCCGGGAGTCGAGGCCCACCTTTAATCCCACACAACACCAGATAAATGCGGTTCCAGGAATCGAACTGAGGCACTCCGGGTTCATATTGATACATCCAAACTACCTGGGCCACTCATTGGTGGTATCAAATCAACTTAGATAGGCTAATTTGTAACCGGAATGTAAAAAAAATCTATTAAATAATGTAGTTAGTTTATCTTATCTTGCTTTATTTTAGTCCTACAATTCTTAGGTTATTAGAACCTCTATACTTTCTCTTGTATTTAAATACCTTAACAGAATGAATAATAAATCAATTTCTCACAAATATCTCTGTACTTATCATGGTGTCAATCTTTCTTATTCGTCCGGGAGAGAGTTCTTCCTTCTTCCTCGATCTTGAGGCCGCCGAGGGGGTTTCGCTTCGCTATGCTCTTCCCCTTTGCGGCTTCGACTTCCAGCAACACCACTGCCAAGCCTTCCTCCAACAGCAACTCCTCCTCCCAATGCTTTGCCGCTGCAACCCCTCGCCTCGTAAAATCTTAGCAGCGCCTCCACCGCAAACCTCAGCGGCTCAAAAGCAACCCCATCTCCATTGCACCATGTCCCAAACCCCCAAACTCCATTCCTCTTCCACCAATTGACCATCGACCGCTTCCCTCCCTGGACAAAACCCACCGCCTTACAATATCAACTAGTCAACAACCCAAATCAAACCTCACCCTTCATACCTTCACGCCTCCAAATCCTGACTTTAGATCTGTTGCAAACCGCTGTCAGCCTCACCTCCACTCACGAGAAATTCGAGTGGAGGTAGGTCCTGCACGAGATTGGCTCTCCCCCAAACTCTCGCACGAGATCATCCCCAAATGCGTGGTTTTCATGGCCGCCCCCATCATCATCTCCCTGCTACGACCACTGCAGCAGCAGCACTCTCTCAGTGCCTAATTGCGCACCCTAACCTAGCTCGAGAACCCACTGTTGCAGCCTCGTCGCAGCCTCATTGCAGCCCTGTTGAGTGGCCTTTGGCCCCAACCTCGTGCCATGCTCCACTTTTGTCCACCGCTCAATGAGATCCACTGGCAGTTATTTCTCTTCCCCACAACCTTTGTTGACGCCCAACTAACTATCAAGACCCCATGACACCCACCCCCAACTCTTGCTCAGCCCTCAAGCATCATGCCCAACTTTTCATCACCCATCGCAGAACTGCCACTGCCCCATTGCAGCCAGTGCAACATCATTGCTTCACTGCACGCCCGCAACATGTTTGTTCAAATGTCTCATCCGATCACCTACTGCATAAACGAGATGCGTTCAACAAATGCACACAAGGTGTTCGACAGAATGCCTGAGGGACATTTTTCACCCTCTTCTCTTGTCTAGAACCCCCGACCATGCTTTCCTCTGACGAGCACCCCGACCAAGCTCTCCTCTGACCAACACCCTAGGCCATGCTTTCCCTAGCCATCATTGTCGGCCACGCTTTCTCTCGTCCAAGCACCCCAACTAACCACCCCAGCCAAGCTCCCTCCGGCCGAGCATTCCTGGCCAAGCTTCCTTTGTCTTAGCTCTCATCGGACAGCTACGCCCTCATTATCTCTGTCCAAGCCCTCACCGGATAGCACCACATCATCTCCTACTTGCAAGCAAATCATCATGTGCACTCCTCGGCAAACTGCCTTGGAACCCAAATACAATTTGAAAGGGGATATTAAATAATATAGTTAATTTATCTTATATTGCTATTATTTTAGTCCCACATCGCTTAGGTTATGAGAACCTCTCTAGTATTTAAACACCTCAGTAGAATGAATAATAAATCAAATTTTCTCAAATATCTCAATACTTAATATCACACATAGCCTAATGTTTACTCACCATATCCGACAGAGTTGATGATTTTTTTATTTGGGGATATTTTTTCGAAAGTTGAAGAGTTGAGGGTAGTTTTGAAAAACTGAGATTTGGGGGGTAGTTTTCAAAATGCACATGATTTAAGGGATATATAACCAAAAAACCCTTTTGAAAATAATTTTCATATCGTAACCTTGTTTAATTTTTCTTGCAGGTTGGTAAACATGATTTAATGGGAATGAATGTCGTGCCAGTGAAGGAACTTGTACCTGATGAGCCGAAATCTATGACGCTGAACTTGCTAAAAAATATGGATCCTAATGATCCTCAAAATGAAAAATCACGTGGAGAGGTTGTTGTGGAATTGACATATAAGCCCTTTAAGGAGGATACGACAACCGAGATGGCTGATGATGGAAATGGGGTAGAAAAGGCTCCTGAGGGCACTCCAGAAGGTGGTGGTGTTCTCGTAGTTATTGTTCATGAAGCTCAAGATCTTGAGGGGAAACACCACACAAATCCGTATGTGAGAATTCTTTTCAAAGGAGAGGAGAGGAAAACGAAGGTACCTTGAGAATGTTTTGTTAAGTGTTTTTCCTTTAATTTTTATATCAGTTTTATATTTTGTTTACTTGCGATGAGGGGCTTTTATGGATGCAGTACATCAAGAAAAACAGAGATCCAAGATGGAATGAAGAGTTTCAGTTTACATGTGAAGAACCACCGATTAATGATAAACTTCATGTAGAAGTCCTTAGTAGGCCATCTAGTCTTGGCATTCACTCCAAGGTATGTACCTGTTTGAGAAGTTTTTGAGTATCATAAGTACTATGGTAATGAACAATTGTGTCTTGTTGTGCAGTGTACATAATGCTAATACGTTGTTAGCGTTATCTTAACCCACAAAAGTTCGTTGACGTTTATATTGGTGACACAGTTTTTACCTGGTGCCTTGTGATATTTATTATTATGTTCTAATTTCAGGAGACCTTGGGCTTTACTGAAATCAACCTTGTAGATGTCGTCAACAACAAGCGAACCAACGAGAAGTACCATTTAATCGATTCTAGGAATGGTCGTATTCAAATAGAGTTGCAATGGAGGAGCACTTGAGAACTACTAGCAGAAATTTCAAAAGAGAAGAGAATAGTGGTTTCATAGGAGATTTGTTGTCTGCGCAAAGCCTTGAAAGCTTTATGCGCTCCATGGTAAAGATTGCCCTTGTACATAAAATGCTCGATTGCTTCCTGTTTCTTTAAGCATTTGTAAGTTCGGTGTTGTTTGTGACGGCAAATTCTAGGAAAATCCTTTTATGGTACTGTTATCTGTGTAATTGTTTGCTCGCTTTCCACAAATATTGGGTTATAGCAATTTCCTTGTACTTTTGAGGAATATTTACTTATTTGTGTGTGCGTGCATATTCTCTCCCAAGTAATGTGTATGTTTGGATGCTCATCATAGCCTTCTACTGTAAAATTAAACAGAACAAATTTTGCGCATCGTCTGTATAGATAACCGCAGGTAAAAAAAAACGTTGAAAAACGAGAGAAGACAAACGACAGTGTGTAAGGGCGCGATTTGTGTATTGCAGAATGGAATATAATCGTGAGAATATGTATAACCGAACCAATACTAAAGAACATTAAATCATTAATCTAAGCGGAAAATAACATAAAGGAAAATCCGAAGTCAAATTTACACGAAACCCAACAAAGCTAACACCAGAAATAAACAATAATGAATATGGGTAGATTTATTTTCATCTGTGTATGATTTAGATAACCATCACTACCTACAGCTTGAGAAATCCCAGACAAATTTACTCAATGTTGATTCAACAAGCAAAGCTAACAAATTCATCAATCAGGTATATGTAAATTAAAATTCGCTCCAAATTATCTCTTCTAGTTTTCACGAGGGTCCCCTGCAGAATATTAATAATTTTAGCAATTCCTACCACTTAAAATAAGATCCGTTGGCCAAATAAATAAGAGAAAAAACAAAGAAAACACAAAAAGATAATAATTGTAAGATTATTTATTAGAGAACCAATACTATAGAATAATCTAAGCAAAAGATAACATAAAGAAACAATAATGACGTTCTTGCATAGCAACGGGGATGTGATTATGAAGAAATATTAATTAGATCTACCTTTTTGTTGTCGAGTGTATTTTTCATTGCAAATTATACGTTTTGCTTAAATTTTGTGAACGTAACAACATTTACATTTTAAACTGGAATTAAATAACACGGGGGACAAATAATTATTTTTAAATTTCACTAATGCAAGGACTTAGACGAATTTACTGCAACCAAATTAGTTACAAGAAATTGTAAATCCTACTTCCTTTCACAACTAATATTCGATTAGTTTTTGCATTTTAGTCCTTGAACTTATTGCAAATTTACTTGTGTAAATTTTTATTTACGAATATGTCACCCCTATAAATAGGTAAGAGTGGGTTCTAAGCCTAGGGTTTTCACTTTTTCTCCTGTTTCAGCCTCCTCCTTCAGATCTGACTCCAAATAGACTCTCCTCTCTCTCCTCCTTCAGATCTGATTCCAAGTTGATTCTAGGGCTCGGGTTTTCGCTGTTCTCCCTCGAAGCTGGTCGTTCACTCGTCCCTCGAAGCTCGTCGTCCCTCGAATCTCGTCGCCGACTCCTCCCGTCGCCGACTCCTCCCTCGAAGCTCGTCATCCCTTGAAGCTCGTCGTCCCTCGAAGATCGTAGTTTACTCCTCCCTCGACTGTCCCTCTCGAGTCATCAAAATGTAAGTTGGTTGAAGCTTAAAGTTACCATTATTTTTGATTTTTAATTTATACTAATTGCTAAAGGTTACTTCTTTATGCCTTTTACAGATAATTTTGCACAAGATCTGATCTCATCCCTTGCGGATCTGTAATTTCAATCGGCTTCATTTAATCGTCAGAGGTGAACTCTCATCTTTCTTTACTACCTAATAATCCGGCTCAATGTTTTTCTCTGTGGCAAGTGACGTAAATCATTAGTGGTACCATTAGTTATCAATGATGCTCTGATGGTCATTTGATTTGCTCGACCTTAACAATAGGAGTCATTAGTATGCTTAAGTGACTGGGCAGTTAGGTAAGTGATATAAATCATTGTGTGCTAGTAGTATCTTTAGAAGTTCTGAACTTGAGAGAAGTTGTGTGCTTTGTATGATAAATAAAGCTACAACTTTGTCCTCAGATAACAAATATCACATTGATGAATGTGGATTTCGTGATTGGGCGGTTAGGTGTGCTTCAACTGATAGTATTCCTTAAGAAAGTAATCGTATAAGCTGAAGGTACAATCGAAGTAAGCATTGGGATCTCATTTTGAAGATGTATCACCAAAGAAGAAGCACCTGAAAGGAAAATAAGAAATCTCAATGACAAAGAAACAGATGGGAGAAAATCGAAGAGACATTTATGAATTACTTATTAAAGATGTCACCCTGTAAAAATAAACTCAACTAATGGAGATCAGCTTCCACATAAAATCCATAAATTATGTCCTATGATAAAAAAAGAACTTATATAACCAGAGACAATGTCATCTGGGAAAGATTTGGAGCAAAAAACTCTCATTGGAGCTTGATGTTCAGGTATCCATTATTAGGGACCACTTTGTTAAAATTCGTCAACATCATTTAATGTTAAAAATCGTTCATGACCTATGATTTTATGATGGGAAATCAAGATATTTGGGTCTTGCTTCAGTGTGAAGATTAGTGTTTATATTCTATTTTGATTTTTATGCAATTGAAAACGATTTTTATATAACATGATGCGTGTTGACTTATGTACTATTCGAGTTGAATTCGAATAGTAATGTGATACTGACCTACTGGGTAAGTTGGTAACTTGGTAATTGTTATATTGTTGTAGATTCCAAATATATTAATTTTCAAATATTTGGCGAATAGATATCGAATAGTTGATGGATAACTTGATATCAAAACCATGAAATATTGTTGATCGAATGTTCGCGAATAGTTACCGAACACGTACACAACTAAACGAAGTGAATTTGAATTATGAATATTATTCTAGTCGAATTCGAACACGAATAGTGCTATTTGAGCCGAATTCGAATAAGACGCTATTTGTTCAGATTCGATTCGTTTCCACCCCTAGTAAAATTTTATATCGGTATCAGAGTTCACGTGTCTCGGGCCCCACGAAATGAATTCTTTGTTATCTCACTTTTTCCCAAGTCAAATCAACGGTAACTTTCTTTTACTGCCTAGGGCCCAATCCATCCTGAAAAGTCTGGATTTGATTTTTGGATCTATTCATTTCGATGCACAGACGATCGAATAACCACGAGCCCAGTCCTCATTATGGGGGTATTTAGGCTCACTGCTTTTATTCGTTATTGTAAATGAACCCATAGTCCCATATAAGACTCACATATGAGAGTGAAATATCAAAAATTACGAAAGAAAAATGGTGCATTTAGCATTTATATTTTTTTCTTGATATAATTAGCATGTGCGTTAAGTATAAAGAAAATGTGTTTTAATATTATGAAATTGTTTTCATTTGACAATATATATAAATAAAAATAGTTGGTGAGAAAAATAATTTATTTAGAAAAATTGATTAATAATAGACACAAAATTTAATTGCAATTTGCATGTTCAAAATTATTTTCATAGAAGAACTAGATAGCCAACATACATTTGAGCATGATACAATGCTAGCATATGATAAATAACCAATAAATTCACAAATTAGAAATTGCACTTAGGGTTATTGCTTTCTTTGGCTTCCATAATGGACTTGTAGTAGATATAGATACCATTCTATTTCCTAGCAAGTTTGTAGCAAGACTCTTAATAATTAAATCCTTTTGGTTAATTTGATCTTTTACTTTCGTTACTATATAGAAACTTAAGTAATTTATACGTGGTCAGTTACTAAGTACTAAAATTGTTAAGTCAAAGAGCTAATATTTCATGCAATTCAAAATTGTCGAGCTTATTGTTGAATGTTGACAGGATAAGTTCTTCGCAGTTAGTTAATATGAAATGGACTAAACACACCTCTAACTTGATTTTATTGTTATGAATAAATTAGATCTAAACTTATCCCTTCATCTTCATAAAAATTACATATTATAAAATAATAATCCGTTGCACGTTGTGTGACAGCCTCCTCAGCTCCACAAAATGTTTCCATACCGTATTTTTTAGGATGCCAATTCAACATAAAGATCACCAATTCAAACCTAGAATACCAATTCAACATAAAGATCACCAAAATGGGAGCAGATTGAGACCATCGCCGTTGTCCTTAAGAAAATCGTCGGTGAAAGCATCGCCATCGTCGGAAGAGGCATCGGATCCGGATCCATCGTCATCGGAAAAGGCGTCGGATCCTTCGTCATCGGAATCTGATGGCTGGCTTTGCTCTTCTTCGTCCTCGATATCTGATTCCTGCTCCTCTACTTCTTCTTCGATATGGAGGGGCTCTGGAGAGGGATCCTTCTTGTTCTTCTTCTTCAAATTAGGGTTTTGAGATTTGGATCCCTTTTGATTTTTCTTCGTAGCCATTTGGAGAAGCGAGAGAACGAAGAAAGAGGGCGCGTTACTGAGAGGAGAGAGATAAACCCTAGGGTTTATGGTCTTTTCGACGGTTCCGCGCTTCTTGACTCCAATAGGGTAACGGGTTACATCGGGTCGGATCTTTAACGGGTGCACATATGGTCCATTACAAACACGTGGATAATGACGCGAGAATTTTACGACCCATTTGAGAATCCGAAGCCAGGTAACTTATTGCATTTACATTTAACATTCACACAAAAAAAAGTAAAAAAAAAACTCTAAAAACTTGCAGGAAAGTAGGAAAATCACCTATCATATCCTCGGGTTGGTATCAGAGTTCACGTGTCCAGACCTTGTGTTTGAGAGTAGGAAAGTAAGAAAATCACCGCAAATAAAAGATAAAACTTGCAGGAAAGTAAACAATAAAGAACACACCAGATTTAATAAGGTTCGGCAAAGTATTCCTTAAGAAAGTAATCGTATAAGCTGAAGGTACAATCGAAGTAAGCATTGGGATCTCATTTTGAAGATGTATCACCAAAGAAGAAGCACCTGAAAGGAAAATAAGAAATCTCAATGACAAAGAAACAGATGGGAGAAAATCGAAGAGACATTTATGAATTACTTATTAAAGATGTCACCCTGTAAAAATAAACTCAACTAATGGAGATCAGCTTCCACATAAAATCCATAAATTATGTCCTATGATAAAAAAAGAACTTATATAACCAGAGACAATGTCATATGGGAAAGATTTGGAGCAAAAAACTCTCATTGGAGCTTGATGTTCAGGTATCCATTATTAGGGACCACTTTGTTAAAATTCGTCAACATCATTTAATGTTAAAAATCGTTCATGACCTATGATTTTATGATGGGAAATCAAGATATTTGGGTCTTGCTTCAGTGTGAAGATTAGTGTTTATATTCTATTTTGATTTTTATGCAATTGAAAACGATTTTTTTATAACATGATGCGTGTTGACTTATGTACTATTCGAGTTGAATTCGAATAGTAATGTGATACTGACCTACTGGGTAAGTTCGTAACTTGGTAATTGTTATATTGTTGTAGATTCCAAATATATTAATTTTCAAATATTTGGCGAATAGATATCGAATAGTTGATGGATAACTTGATATCAAAACCATGAAATATTGTTGATCGAATGTTCGCGAATAGTTACCGAACACGTACACAACTAAACGAAGTGAATTTGAATTATGAATATTATTCTAGTCGAATTCGAACACGAATAGTGCTATTTGAGCCGAATTCGAATAAGACGCTATTTGTTCAGATTCGATTCGTTTCCACCCCTAGTAAAATTTTATATCGGTATCAGAGTTCACGTGTCTCGGGCCCCACGAAATGAATTCTTTGTTATCTCACTTTTTCCCAAGTCAAATCAACGGTAACTTTCTTTTACTGCCTAGGGCCCAATCCATCCTGAAAAGTCTGGATTTGATTTTTGGATCTATTCATTTCGATGCACAGACGATCGAATAACCACGAGCCCAGTCCTCATTATGGGGGTATTTAGGCTCACTGCTTTTATTCGTTATTGTAAATGAACCCATAGTCCCATATAAGACTCACATATGAGAGTGAAATATCAAAAATTACGAAAGAAAAATGGTGCATTTAGCATTTATATTTTTTTCTTGATATAATTAGCATGTGCGTTAAGTATAAAGAAAATGTGTTTTAATATTATGAAATTGTTTTCATTTGACAATATATATAAATAAAAATAGTTGGTGAGAAAAATAATTTATTTAGAAAAATTGATTAATAATAGACACAAAATTTAATTGCAATTTGCATGTTCAAAATTATTTTCATAGAAGAACTAGATAGCCAACATACATTTGAGCATGATACAATGCTAGCATATGATAAATAACCAATAAATTCACAAATTAGAAATTGCACTTAGGGTTATTGCTTTCTTTGGCTTCCATAATGGACTTGTAGTAGATATAGATACCATTCTATTTCCTAGCAAGTTTGTAGCAAGACTCTTAATAATTAAATCCTTTTGGTTAATTTGATCTTTTACTTTCGTTACTATATAGAAACTTAAGTAATTTATACGTGGTCAGTTACTAAGTACTAAAATTGTTAAGTCAAAGAGCTAATATTTCATGCAATTCAAAATTGTCGAGCTTATTGTTGAATGTTGACAGGATAAGTTCTTCGCAGTTAGTTAATATGAAATGGACTAAACACACCTCTAACTTGATTTTATTGTTATGAATAAATTAGATCTAAACTTATCCCTTCATCTTCATAAAAATTACATATTATAAAATAATAATCCGTTGCACGTTGTGTGACAGCCTCCTCAGCTCCACAAAATGTTTCCATACCGTATTTTTTAGGATGCCAATTCAACATAAAGATCACCAATTCAAACCTAGAATACCAATTCAACATAAAGATCACCAAAATGGGAGCGGATTGAGACCATCGCCGTTGTCCTTAAGAAAATCGTCGGTGAAAGCATCGCCATCGTCGGAAGAGGGGATTGAGACCATCGCCGTTGTCCTTAAGAAAATCGTCGGTGAAAGCATCGCCATCGTCGGAAGAGGCATCGGATCCGGATCCATCGTCATCGGAAAAGGCGTCGGATCCTTCGTCATCGGAATCTGATGGCTGGCTTTGCTCTTCTTCGTCCTCGATATCTGATTCCTGCTCCTCTACTTCTTCGATATGGAGGGGCTCTGGAGAGGGATCCTTCTTGTTCTTCTTCTTCAAATTAGGGTTTTGAGACTTGGATCCCTTTTGATTTTTCTTCGTAGCCATTTGGAGAAGCGAGAGAACGAAGAAAGAGGGCGCGTTACTGAGAGGAGAGAGATAAACCCTAGGGTTTATGGTCTTTTCGACGGTTTCGCGCTTCTTGACTCCAATAGGGTAACGGGTTACATCGGGTCGGATCTTTAACGGGTGCACATATGGTCCATTACAAACACGTGGATAATGACGCGAGAATTTTACGACCCATTTGAGAATCCGAAGTCAGGTAACTTATTGCATTTATATTTAACATTCACACAAAAAAAAGTAAAAAAAAAACTCTAAAAACTTGCAGGAAAGTAGGAAAATCACCTATCATATCCTCGGGTTGGCATCAGAGTTCACGTGTCCGGACCTTGTGTTTGAGAGTAGGAAAGTAGGAAAATCACCGCAAATAAAAGATAAAACTTGCAGGAAAGTAAACAATAAAGAACACACCAGATTTAATAAGGTTCGGCAACATGCCTACGTCCTCGGGAGGCACACCACGCAATTCTTTGATTAACTTGAAAAAAGATTACAAGCTCGCAAATTAGGGTTTAATCTCTCTGAGATTTCTCTGAAGAATCCTCTCAAAAACTCTCTTTTTGATGCACTACAAACCCTAAAAACGTTTAGGTATATATAGGATCCCAGATCAAAACAGAATCCTGAACAGATTTGGAAACAAGAAAACCCGACTCCGGTCGACCGGATCATGTTCCACGGTCGACTGGCCAGAGCGCCAACTTCCTACATGAGTTTGGTGCACGTTCGCGGTCGACCTGATCAGCTCTCGCGGTCGACCGGACAGAGTGAGGATTTCTTTTCAGTGGAATCGGATGAGAGCGATTTAGAGGCCAAGTCTCGAGCGATTGACGAGGACAAGGCGAAAGTGGAAGAGGAAGCGGAGGAGGAATTGAGGTTGAATATAAAGGAAGAGTTTGACGAGTTCAGATTGCCTACAGAAGAGGTAATCTTTTGTTAATTTCTTTCATGTTTTTTGTATTCTTAGTGCTCAGTGTTTGTTTGTGTTTGTCTCGAGCGATTGACGAGGACAAGGCGAAAGTGGAAGAGGAAGCGGAGGAGGAATTGAGGTTGAATATAAAGGAAGAGTTTGACGAGTTCAGATTGCCTACAGAAGAGGTAATCTTTTGTTAATTTCTTTCATGTTTTTTGTATTCTTAGTGCTCAGTGTTTGTTTGTGTTTCAAGTTCTGTTATTTTTTATTGCAATCTGTTTTAAGGGTGAAGTGTTTAGTTTTGAAGTTGTTAGATTAGTCTTTCATGCTAAAAGATAAGCCATTTTTTTCATCTATATATTAAGAAGCTGCTGTAGTCTTGTGCAAACAAACAAAAAATTGAAGTACAACATACATAAGGAACACGGTTCATTGAAATTATGTACTAAAGATGGTGATTATATTCCTTGACTATATCTTTTTTCTGTAGTAATGTTGGATACTGAATTTCTTGCAAGTTTATGAGTTTATTACCAAGTATTTGTTTGGTTATACTTATTTGTACAGTTGGAAGCTCAAATTGTTTTCATCTTTATGGGGAACTTAATGGGACAACAACCTGAAATTTAGGAAATTGAAAGAGTCTTGTGCACTTAACTATTCGATGTAGAATGCCCTTCAGTTGTTTTTTTTTCGTTCTGTCACTAAACTGTATCCTCTTTGTTTGAATATCAGTGTATCTTCTAGAAATTTGACAAAGAATTTTCAGAATTTTCAGAATTAAATCTATAAATTGAAAGTGATATTTGCTGATGAAGAAGGCAACTATTTACTGGTATTATATGGTAACAAGGTCAAACTTTGAAAAGACTATAATAATGGTAGTGTGAAAACATGTCCTGATTGATGTATCGTGCTTATAAACTTCCGAATAGGCCTCGTGACATTGGCATAAGAAATGACTTAGAAAAGTTTTTGGATGTTTTTTCCCACTGATTTGACTATTGTGACATGACAGGAACTCGAAGAAGAGGCACATCAACCTCCGAACCTCTCAAAACTCCAGCGCAGAATAAAAGAGAGTATGTACAAACGTCCTCAATACTTTGAGCTATTCTTGACATCTTTAAATCTCCTCCCCTAAAACATGAAAAGTTTGTTTGTTTTTGTTCTTTCTAAATCCTTAGTTCTTGTATAGAATTTGTTACTAATGGATATTATGGATTCCCTTCTATCAGTTGTTAATGTGCTCTCAAATTTCAAAAAATTGAGACATGATGGTGCTTCACAGAAGGATTACGTGGAGCAGCTAAAGGTGGACCTGGGTTCTTATTATGGCTACAATGATTTTCTCATTGGGGCTCTTGTTGAGGTATTGTTCAATATAGTGATTAGGTTTGTTCCAGATTCTTGCCGATATCAACTTTTTCCAACTTTGTCATCACCTGTATCTTTTCCAGATGTTTCCAGCTGCGGAGCTTGTTGAACTCCTGGAAGCTATGGAGAAGAGTCGACCTGAATGCTTGCGAACAAACACTTTAAAGGTACCAATAGCTATCTCAGTCATGTATTGTTGAGAACAGGTTAGGTTACGCTGATACCTATTTGATATGTTTTGCTTATTTCGTGTTTTAATCTGGCATTCACATCAATGTGCACATGCATTATTTCTGCTTAATAATTGCAATATATTCTAAATATTGCTGAATCTTTTCTAGATTATATGTGATCTCTTCTAGTAATCAAGGCTAGTGAATGTCTATCTGTCTTTTTGACTAATTTTGTTGTTGGTTATAGACTCGGAGAAGGGATCTGGCTGGCGTCCTGATAAATAGAGGAGTTAACCTTGATCCTATAGGCAAGTGGTCAAAGGTAAAAATTTTGACGCTTTCTTCAGTCTGATGTTGGTAATTGGTTTCAACTGTTGGAGGATATAACAGCACCTGTTTAAAATATAAATGACAGGTTGGGTTAGTGGTGTATGAGTCCCAAGTTCCTATTGGTGCAACCCCTGAGTATATGGCTGGGCATTACATGGTATTAAACTGTTATACATATTTTGTTATCACTTTTATCTAGTCAGTTGGGGGCTTTCTAGTTTGAATTCTTGTAATTTGCTTATTATTTTTTTATTTTATATCGATCTGCAGCTGCAAGGTGCAAGCTCTTTCATACCTGTGATGGCACTTGCTCCGCAGGAGAAGGAGCGGATTGTCGATATGGCGTAAGAATTTTCAGTCACATGCTTACTGTGCTTTTTTTAATTGATCCAGCAGATTCAAAGCATCTATTACCATTTACACTTCCATATTGGAAGTAAGAAGAGTTAAATAAGTCATTATTTTAGAGGTCAAGTATCTAAATTCATATCGTTTTGGCTGTGTAAAGTTAGGTGGATATGATAGGTGCTTATTCCCACATTAGATGTGAAAGTTAAATTTCACTATTATAATCAAATAGTAGGTTGTAGATAAATAGAATATAAACTATTGCTCGATCACAGAAGACTATTGTCTTAGTGGTAAGAGTATCAAAACACATTTTCTCACTGTTGAAGGCCGTTATAGACTTGATTTTTATCACCGATCCATTTTCTGAAGTTTTGATCAATCTGCTGGTACCGATATCGGATACGAGTAGCCTGGTTTTTAAGCATGTTAGACATGGTTGAAGATCCTTGACGATAAATTTGAGTTGTGTAGGTGTTTGACATACACAAGACAACCCGATCCCTAGTGCTATACCCAAGCCAATTGGACGCCTACTCTAGATTAAAGGTGCAAGGATAAACCACCTTCTTGCCAGTCGTTGTCACTAACACTCACATTTGGACCATTTCTTTTTTAAAATACTTTTATCATATTATTGAAATTAATTGATATATTACTTGCATGCCACTCTAATATTATTTATGTTTCTATAGGTCTGCTCCAGGTGGAAAAACGACATATATCGCTGCTCTTATGAAAAATACTGGTATATTCATTTTGGCAAACTTGATTGCTTGCTCGTCTCCAAGTTATAATTCCGTTATGACAAAGATGTCCTGCTTTTGTTGATTATCTATTATCAGATTATTTTAGAAGTTATCACCTTATTCTTATTAATAGAGGTAAGGTGATTTAGGCATAGGGGTAAAAGGGCTTCTAAAGGGTTACTGACGATATTAATGAATATCTTTAATAGTCTGTTTTTTGTTTACACAATATTCTTCGAAGCGTAAATTTATGAATAAATTTTATACAAGGTTTTAGGTATTTTAATAGATTTTATTAGAATTTTTTAGTTGTATTTTTTTTGCTTTAAACTTAAATAATTCTTGAAAAATTTGGGATGCATATCTGTTTATGAATATGACAATTTATGTTATACATGTGCGTGCTCTATTGTTAAATATTGATTGATTATGCTAATGATTAGAGGAGCACAAACTTCAGAGCTATGTGGTGTTTCAATATAAGTCAATAGTTGCGTAAAGTCGTAAACAATAACATCACTTACTAATATTTCATACTGAGATAGTGGACACAACATAAATGCATTCGTATCTTTAAATCAAGTAGAATTGTGAACCTGTCATTCAATCCTTAGTCGTGGAGAAATCTCTGACATAGTTTCAACACATCTTAAATACTCTACGAAATTTAGAATGGATCAAAAGGAATATCAAACATACCCCTCAAGTATCCGATATGACCTGATACTAATACATCCTCGTCAAACGCAATGTAGCTTCACAACCTTCTTTTTTTCCTTACCTAATTCATATATTTTTCATATTGATTTTACATACAGGGTTCCAGTCGTTTTGTCTTCTACATAGTTCGTCTATTTATCAAAAGACAAGTTTTAATAATTCCCACAATCTCTCTGCAAATAAATATTGAAATTTTTTGTTGATAATCTTTCCTTAAGACTATTTTATTTATTTATCTTATTTCTTCAATGTTTAATATATTTTTTAACTTGTCTAATCGTGTAGGTATAATTTATGCAAATGAATTTAAGGAACCAAGGCTCAAGTCACTAACTGCAAATATTCATCGGATGGGCGTGACAAATACTGTAATATGCAACTATGATGGGAAGGAGGTGAGTTGCTAACTTGGTTATTAATTTTTCCTGGTT